TGTGACAAGGCAAAATTTGATATTAGTTATTACGTATCTGTCATATTCGGCGTGACAAACTTTTATAATATATTTAAGCGTTATGACAGGAGAAGAAAAATATTGGGTTGCCCAGTAAGTTCGTGCCGCTTTATAAGGAAAATTGAAACCCTGTCCTCTTAAATTTTTGGAAATGGTTTTAAATTATATTGGTACGACTCTATACCTAAAACGTCTTTTATTATTGGATAAAATTTTAAAAATTAGTTTTTACCTCAACCATTGAAATGAAATTATTCACAATATAGAAATTTTTGTGACGTTTGATAATGGTGGAAATCCGAAAATGAATCCACTTCAGCTACAGTCTATTGTAAGCTTTATATCGAAAATCAGAACGAACTTTCCGGACAACCTATAATGTTAATACGAAGTGTCAAATGAATGTAACAGAAGTAGTTTATTCCAAATTGTATCACAAGTATATAGAGATAGAGTTCAATTTTGTCAAATGTACCGATATTTTTGCGCACCTTGACTGCTTCGTTACTTATGACGCTGTGGCTGCTACGATATTTATGAGCATCTTGCATGTACTCATATATTTGACGCTGTGTATGTACCGATGTTTTTGAGCAGGGTGAATGTATCTATTATTTTGAGGACTTTTGTTGTACCGATATAATTGATTACTTTTGATGTACCTATATATTTGCATATCTTGTCTGTGACGATCTATATGACGCTGACTGTACTTAATGAACGGTTGTCATAGTGGCGGACGGTCGCGCACAACGATTAACTGTGAGCTATCGAAAATCGGTCTAGTAATTAAATTAATCCAACAAATGTGTCCTACAATTTAGGTCTTTTGTAACTTTTTGAATTTATCGCACAATTAATTAAAAAAAATTTGTTCGTCAACAACACAATTTTTGGTTTAATGTCTTTATGAAGTATAAAGTAGGAATAGAAAAAAACAAACAAAATGAATAATGATGAAATTTTCCATTGCAAGTTCTACGAGAAGAACCATCGAAAGTTGAAAAAATTCTTAATCGTTTTTACTCAACCCATATCTAGTGCATTGTCACATGAATTGTCAAACTAATCTATCTTAAATAGACACACTATTTGACATTGGCCCAATCCGATGAGGGAGAGCCATAAACAAGAAACAGAACAGATAGACAAACTATAATATATTTCTTTTTGTTTGTCAAATTCTCGCAACGCTCAGTTTAGTCTAAATGTTGAGCTGGTTTGTTTTTTTTCTTGTGGTTGTCATAAAATATTTCTAAAAATGGTAAGCATTGCACAAACTTCAATATTTTATCTGTGATGTTAATAATCACGATGATTAAAATATACTTAGTTAATAGTTACTAACCGCCTAAGACAATAGTAATAGGCGATTATTTTAAAAAGTTTAATCGGAAAAATAATTCCAATACATTTATCCATCCATGATCCAATCCATTTGACTGAAAATAATATCTCTACATGAATACTATTTACCAACTCCGTCAAATCATATCGTGTTATAAAAGTCGACTAGAGCCATCTATATAGCACTTCCAGCATCTATTACTTATTTGTAAGGCTTCAAAATTTAAGCCTATTAATGGTCTTGCTTTGGTTTTATCGTTGGATGCATTTTTTGTTATTAGTACGCTGTTGTTTGTTTTTAATAAAATAAATGAAAAACGCAAGACTAAAATAATGGTCTATATACTTAAATATTTGTATGCAGACGTAAAATATTCAGTTTCACTAAATTTTAATTCAAGACTTTTTGTTTCACACAAAATTGCATCATTTCACAAAACAGAAACGGAAACATCAAACTTTTAAAACAAATTATTTGCTATTATATTTTAACAGGCGCTTAATCTTTGGCAGTACTAGGAATCATTATAATTAATATTATAATTTTTTTATTAATATAATAAATAAGACAAAAATTTGTATTTTCACTCATTTAACGTTTATGGTAATTTGAAAAAACAAAATTATTCGTAAGTCAATACTATAAACTTCGTCACTATACGCCGAGTAAAATATATTCAGCGCCATCTATTTTGTATTTCCAACAACTCTTACACATTTTACAACAGTCATGGATTATAAATTTTAATACAAGCACTTAGCCACGCCGAGAAATTTCTTGTGTAAATTATACTGTTAAGTTAATGTTAACAATATGTAATTTTTAAAAGTAGCAAGTCATATAAATTAATATCTAATGTTTATAGCTCGTTTGCTATATGTACTCTCCTAAACAACTGGACATTATGAAACTGACACCAAAGCAAGTGTGTGTAATGAAAAATAAATTATTGAAACATTATTTTGATTAACTTTATAGAAATTTATTTAACTTTATTGATATTGTTACTTAAGGGTTCGTATAGTTTTGGTATGCCTTACGTTTTAAGTGTATACCAAAAGTTTCAGTGTTATGTCGTCAGATGTCGCTGTAAGTATTTAGTTAATCTGTGAAACTCGATATAGAATATCGCTCTGTTGCAATGACCTGTGCGAGTCGAGTTACGGCAGATAAGACCTTACTTCATAGGATCATTTCTATAGTAAGTTCTTCACGAGACCTTCACAACATGTGAGATTGTACCAACCACGTTGATGAGACGTGGCGCGACGCCCTGAGCGTGAGGCGGGCGGCAGCAGCTCGCTGCCAGCCCTCGATGATCGTTCGCTCTCCGTGCAAGCGGAGGGGGTGGGGCGTTGTCGCTGTCTGAGTGGTTTTTTTTAACCTTTATTTTATTTACAATTAAACTTACATCTCGCCTGTCACTCCGTTCTACATCTATGCCAAGATTCAGCTAGATCTATGTAATCGTTCTGGAAATACCTTAAAAAAACGAACATCCATCAATACATTCAAAAGTTCGCATTTATATTAGCTGTTGTCCACGCGGAAATAAAGATTTTTGATGTAGACGGGGGGCGATAATTTGATAATTTTGTTCACTTATGCTCACCGATTCAGATAGCTTTGTCGGTCTATACCCATTAGTCTTAGAAAAAAAAATTAATCTTTATTAGGAAAATAAATTATTATCCTCTCATTTTGACCGCTTTTAACTTAAAACTTTTTTGTAATCCGCACCATATATATATATATATATATAACATAATATTCTATATATAAAAAATATCACAACGCTCAGTTTAATCTATGATGAGCTGGCTTGGTCTTTTTCTTGTGGCAAATCCTTCGATTTATTTTCTTAGATGTTGTTTACCACGATGTTCATATATATTTAGTCACCAGTTACAAACCACCTATAACTGACGTTAGAGGCGGATTATTCAAAAATATTCATGAAAAGTACTGGATTTCTAAATTCCAGTACTTCCATCCATCCATTAACTTAAAAAATGATTCAACGTGAATACAATTTACCGACCTAGTCAAATCATATCGTGTTCTAAAAAACGACTAGCGCCATCTATGTTGCACTTTTAACAAATTCGAATTGAAATTCGAACTTATTCTTCTCTGATTGTCTTGCTTTGATTTATGTGTTGGATGTAATTTTTGAAATTAGTACGCCGATGTTTTTTTTTATAAATAAAATAAAGTAATAAAAGTTCAAGTTAAAAATAAAATAATCTCTTCCTACGTTTCTGGGTCACGGGTGTAGGTTGTTAAAAATTTAGCTAAACAAAAAAATATAGTTTTAAAATATTAATATTTTTTCTCTGATCCATTAGCTTATCGATATTTTGGCGGTTCGAATATCGTACAAACCGCTGCGCAGAGCGGGGCATAAATACGGCTTGAAGACACGACGCTTTAACGTCAATACCAGACTTTTTTTAGAAATGAATAAAAATACCACTCAGACAGCGACAACGCCCCACCCCCTCCGCTTGCACGGAGAGCGAACGATCATCGAGGGCTGGCAGCGAGCTGCTGCCGCCCGCCTCACGCTCAGGGCGTCGCGCCACGTCTCATCAACGTGGTTGGTACAATCTCACATGTTGTGAAGGTCTCGTGAAGAACTTACTATAGAAATGATCCTATGAAGTAAGGTCTTGTCTGCCGTAACGCGACTCGCGCATCTCATTGCAACAGAGCGATATTCTATATCGAGATTCACAGATTAACTAAATACTTACGGCGACACCTAGTGATATCACATCATAAAATAAAAATTAACAAATTCACAATAATTCCGTATCCACACCTCATTCTATATCCTAATATCAAGTGTTAATTCCTTCGTAATCATGTTTATATACAATGCCAACCTCCTCCTCTATAAAGAAATGTATTTTCTCAATATAAATAAATGTATGTATGTTTGTTCCCCATGTGTTTCTAAATCACTTGAATCAACATCGATTTTGACGAATTTTTGTTACAATTAGCTGAGAAGATCTAATAGTGTTTTCGCTATAATTAAACTTTTGCATGCACTAAACTGATAGGAAATGATTACAAATCTTCGAAATAGCTTTCTATTTTTTTTTTTGGTGTGCCCATTTCAATTTAAATACTAAGCTGGCTAATGGGTTATGCCTGGTGCCAGACCAGCGCTACAGTTCTACTGTACTGGTATAATGTAAACCAGGCATTATTTTTTGTTTCCTCCATCCTCGAGCATTCAAAAAAGTCAACTAATAGAAAAAGATTATTTGAGAACAATGACATCTATAATTTTTTTTGGAACAGTATTTTAGTTTTAGACGCATAAATTAAGCTTTGAGTCAAAGCCTATACTTTTAAATATTTTAGCATTAATTGGGACTTATTAAAAATATCTTTTATTTAATTTAAAAATCTTAATCATTATGAGATAAATTAAAAAAATTGTTACATTTTAAAGTTTATTTACATTTCTCTTTTGGTTTGTAATGTCGATAAAACAGTCGGAAATAAAACAATCTCCAAAAGGATGTTTCGCCGTGCAGCGACATCTTTTAGTTCACAACATAATTTTTTCATATCATCTGTTTGCAAGTTGTCAAAGTGCGTGTCGTAATAAATTGACATTTCTGAGTTAGGCAATAGTTAGTTTTTATCACGTTTATCTGTATGTTATACTTATATGATAAACTTACTTAATATGAGACTCGCTTGAACATTATACGCATCATGCAATAAAACTATATTTATCTTGATTATAATTTAAAACAATATTTATCATTTATCTGCCATCTAGGTAAAGAATTTAGTCACAAGAAACGTAGTTCTTGTTTTCTCCGTGGCGCTCTCGACCCAAACAATGAATTCCAACATGGAGGCAATGTGCTACACAGTTTGAAAATGCAGGCCGTGTCATGCTTTGAAAAAAATCATTTTATAGTAGATTTTGGTGGAAAATGTCGGACCCTAAACGTGCTACTCTTATAACAGTGGGTGCTCCAAAAAGTGCAAAGAACAAAGTGACGAAAACAGTGAGATTAACTATAAATTTGGATGAAAGCAACGAAAGTAAATATCCTGAGCTGAATTACAAGGAACTAGTCATAACAGAAGAGGTAAGTTATAACAGAAAATCATAGCAATTTACGCAACCATACTGGTTTTTCAGATCATTGTTTAGCCGAGAACATGATAGAATAATAAAAAAAGGGTTACTTTCAGTCGTTAGGCGGGCAAAGGTGTGTTTGAAGTGGGCCTATGTTGCGGTCGAATAAGATATTTTTTGCTTACGTTACATAGCTGTGCATTCAGTTTGTAACATGATTTTGCGCCCACGATCTATACGCGAAGCCCAGATATCGGTCGCCATGTTTGCAACAATCTCAGAAGAACATTGTCAACACTGGTCATCAAACTTCAAACACAATGTTTTGGTGGTGTTCGCCCGCCCGTATAATCGAAGTATTAATTTGTAATTTTATAACTAATTTTCTTTTTATTGCAACATCAATGATTTACACGTTGCACTATCAATGACGACACGTATAGGTATTAGCTAGGTAGTAAATCGAGCGAAAGTTAGGACCGACATTTGATGACCTAGCCTTACCCTGTTAGAACTGTCGTCGTGTCCCGCTGAACAATTATTTTTAGATTGCTTTCTCGAGGTACATAAAAGTAGTGTTTTAGCGAAATTAGGGAACATCTGTTTCCAGTTTTGTATTATTTAAATTGACGTAAGTACGGAGTGAAGTATGGTACGATAGTGTTGCAGCAATTTAGGTATCGGAAACAAGCTGGAATGGTTTTATTATTTTTGCAATAATGTAATTATCTAGCGAATTAGTATGTACAAAGACTAGATAGGTTATGCGTTTGGAGCTTGAGTACGCGATGCTAGTGAATGCGAGGTTTTGTACTTTATGCCAGATCGGTTAGCGACCTTTGCTTACGTGAGTTAAAGAGCATTTTTTGCATAGATTGTAGATAAAGGGTACATAGCGTATATAAATAATTTATGCAATTTATATACGTTGTTGATATAACATTGTATGGTAGCTGTTTCTACGTTTTGTTTTGTTTTACGAACGGTAGGAGTTATTTTTTTAGGTTATCATTTTACTACTGTTTATTCGTTTGTAGAATCGGAAATAGGATTTCAGTGAATAACGGCCATTGTTTTGTTTTATTGAAGTTTAGGTTAGCATACATATTTTATTACCATTTTTTATGTGCATAATATTGACATGGGAAGGCGTTTTATTTGTTTCGATCTCTTATCAATCTTTATCATTGTATGCAAATAAGAAGTTATGAAATGTAGAATTAACTTTCAATTAGTTTTTTTTTCTAATGTTTATTGTGAATTGGTATGTGATAACAATTGATAAAGTTTAAAACAGTTATGAAACCAAGGTCCTTGTACGAATTTGCATATTTATGTTTTATGTTATGTAACATTTATGCTATTTAAAATATGTTATTTGATTAATATTTAGTATAAATTAAATTTGGCGTTATAATTCTAGCGTTTATTATTGATGTTTTAAAAACGTTTGCGTGTGTGTGTGTGTTTTAGTTTCAGTATTTATTATGTAATCCCTGACTTTTCTAGTCAAATTTTACGAATTAATAAAATTGTTTTTTAATGAGTCATTTTAGAAATGTGATCTTAACCGGCTCTTATTCGTAAGTGCAAGATCAGGTGGCAATATATTCAAGGTCACCTTAAAGCCGGCCTCTCTGAATCCAGACGTTTACTGATTTTTACATATTGTAATGTTTTTTTTTTCATTAAAATTTCATATGCGGTTGTTTTTTTAGTGTTTTGTGCATTCAAGCCTCAGAGAATTATACGAACGGTTTCGGATATACTATTTTGAATGTATTGATGTGAATGAAAAATGTTACTTCTTACTAATATTATAAATGCGAATGTTTGGATGGATGTTTGTTAGAAGGTAACGGCTGCATGGATCTCACTGAAAATTGGCATAGATGTAGAACATATGGCATACATAATAGCATGGAAGAACGCATAGGCTACTAATTATTTTTTTTTTATTCCGCACGGACGAATTGGTGGGCGACAGCTAGTGTTAATATTTCGTAGTGACTACTCACTTCGGAAACGCGGAAATACTGCTTAGCTTAGCTTTATTATCAGTAGCGGAAATTTTAGTGGACCTGAACTTAAGTTCTTACTTCTTCGCGCGTGTACAGTCGTTGAGAAAAGTGTTACGTTAATTTTACAATTGATTGTCGTGAACAATGTTATTCATAGAAAATGATTTATGTAATTATTTCTTAAGTATTACAAACGCAAATTATTAGACAGCACTAAATGTGTTACGCGCTGCCTTAGTCTGAATTTTTTTCGCGCCAATACGGGCAGCACAGATAAAAAACCTTACCATTTGTGGGGCCTCACTGTAACATTAACGGTAGGCACTCGTTTTTATTTTGTGCCAGTTTGAAAGCTATGTAAGTAGGTACACAGTGATCGCTTGATTTATTATTGGGATCCTAATGAACAATAGAGAAATAAATTATTTACTAGCCAGATATTTTACATTAACACAAATATAATGTTTGTTATTATTACAATTTACGTATATTCTATTCGTAAAAAGCCTCAATGCCATTTACTACCCACCCACTCACTACACCCTATTTATTTTCATTAATAAAACGACTCGTAGTATTTTGTTTGTAAACAATTTTAATTTGAGTCTAGTAAAAATAGACTACATTCTATCTTACCTGATTTTTTTTCTAATAAAGAGATAAGAAATTCTAAAAAATTGCTTATTTCAATTTTTCAGAGGAAAAAAAGAGTACAAAACGGCAAGACTGCAGGGCTGGACCCATTCTCAGACAATGATGATGATGTGGAACGTGTTGCCAGGAAGTTTGAACAAAAATATGTATGTATCAATACATTTTAATATTTTAAAATTATTCAATTAAGCAACTATTGACTTTTAATCATTGAACAAAGTTTAAAATCATTCAGTTGATGTGACGTTAATTTTGTTTTGGTAAATCTTTTTTTTTGCAAAATTCTTAATTTGAAAGTAAGAAACCATCATATAAGCAGCATTTTGCTTCTAAAGTTGAATTAATAGCAATAAAAAATTATGATAAACAACAGTTTTAAATATAAGCTTTTAATTCCAGACTTTTTGAACACTGTCTGTGTTTACTAGCTATTTGTATGGAGAGTTAATTCTTAATAAGTTTATTAATAATTTCCAGGGTGGTAAGAGCACATATGGAAGGAAGGGACGTAAACGGGACGACTTTGCAGATATCGGAGCGGGATATGATGAAAATGATTCTTTTATTGATAACACACATGGTGTGAGTATATAACTTTATGTTCAGTATTTTTTTTGTCTCTGTTTTATCAAAAAGAATGAAAGGAACAACAATATGTAACACAGTTGTCACTGCAGTAAAGTTCTACAGAAATAATATTAGGTAATTCTAGTTAGTCATTATCATCAGCTCACTATTGTCCCCACTGAGGGGCTCGGAGCTTACCCTAAGTTAGGTGTGACTAGACCATAGTCAACCACACCGACCCAGTGCAGGTTGGTTGACCACCTGCACTGGATCGGTGTGATTGTCTTAACATATATCTACTGTGCAGATTGCATTACAATGTTTTTCTTCACCGTAAAAACGTCGAATAATTGTACATTTGTTAATTGAAAAACACATTGGTACATGGCGGGATTCCAACCTAGGAGCTATAGATTCCAAGTCAAGTCAAGTGCTCATCCCCTGAGCTACTGGTGCTCTAATTACTGTCGAACCTGGATAAACAAATCATTGTACAGTCCTAGCAGATGACCTCAATAAGTGAGATATTTGGATAACAGAGAAAACTGTATAAATGAGAAAAAAATCGTAGTCTCCCTGGACTCTCCCTTATCTAGGTTACACTTTGTACTACCACTTTAAGTAAAGTGGTTACCACTATCATATTGTTGATTAATATCATCAATATAAATGTCATATCTCTGATTATTTAAATAGTCACAACACAATAAAGTGATAATTGTTAATTGTATTTATAACTTTGTCAAGTTACTACTCATAAAAATAACAAGGAAAGACTAAATTAGGTCTTATAAGTTGTTATTTAGTGTTTGTAAATCTTTGTAAGAGAACTTTTAGAGTTAAGCACACCTGTACTACTTCATCTTCTTCAAAAACTTAATAAGTAGCCTATGTGTTCTTCCGGACTGTTCTTCATCTGTGCCAAATTTCATCAAGATCAGTTGAGCCGTTCCGGAGATACACAACCATCCATCTAAACTTTTGCATTTATAATATTAGTAAGATTTTAGTTTCTAGACCCTTAGGGTAAATATAATGTTAAAAAAATTGTGCACTTTGTTTATGTCTATGTAAATTTTGTCAACTTTCAGTATGATGAGATGATCCCTCCGGAATGCGACACCCTGTATGGTGGTTTCTACATCAACAGTGGATCGCTGGAATTTAAAACAGTACCTGATGGTCAGAATGGCAATTCTGATGCTGAACCTTCAGCCAATAGGAAGAAGGTAGTCGATTTGGACCTCTATATTTATGCAGTCTAATTATGTAGTGCCAATGGCCTATTGGTTAAGGATACAGACTTCATACCATGTGGTTTAAGCTTCGAAGCTTAGTTGGAATGGTACAAGAAATATAGGTGTTTATTTTGATTGTAAAATTGTTGTGATTTAGGAGTGCAGTTTTGTAGGTCATTATCAAATTGCTTGATATGATTACAAACAAAAATGTTTTTGTAAGCAAAAAAATTGCATGTTTCTTTTGGATCAATTAACAGTTGTACCCAAAAACATCTTGAATAATTGTTGCTTTTAATTGTGCTTTTAAAAATCTGTAGTTAACACTTTTCTTAATATTAATTTTTGAACTCCCTTTTTGTTATTTATCTGCTTGTACACTCATTTTGTTATTCATTCTTCCAGAGATGCCTATCATCAAGTAGTAGCGAAGATGAATCCTCAGAGAGCTCGTCAGAGTCTGAAAGTGCGGAAGAAAAGGAACCTAAAGCGATAGCTAATGGCGCCTTAGACTCCCATGAGACTGAACATCGAAAAAAGGTATAGAATTTTTACTATTGCTAAGAATAATAATATGGTCAAATTGCCCAACAAGTCAACTAATGGTGCGTTTACGCTTACTTTAAATGTATGATTTGTGTTGCAAGTGTTCCAATGAATTAGGGTAAATGCTAGTTATTGACTGTCATGAGCATATGCTCGCTTAATGTTGGAATTGTTAAATTTCAGAAAAATAAAAAGATTGATAAAAAGAAAGCAGACAAAATCCGAAGAACAGATTCGTCTGCGGCTACATCTGGTAAACAAACCTCTGATGGTAAGTTTTGTTTTTATATCATTTATCTAACCTTAAATTAACAGCAAATATGTAAACTAGTTGACCCAGCAAACGTTATTTTGCTGTATAAATTAAAAAAATAAATAAAAGTAAATTGTCCATAAATAAAATGTCGGGTGTGGACAACCCTTATCACTTTTTTTTGGTATTTTGCAAAGCGTCGGCCCTCTTAGCCATTAATAGGAATAAGATTTAGTTTATTGTTTTTATATCACATTCGTAGTTTTAAGTATTTATTGTTTTTAAATGCCCTTTTGCCCTAGTATTAGTATTTTAAATTTATTGTTTTATTGAATTTTAATTTATTGGTTTTAAATTGTATATAGATATCTTAGTATTTTATTGAATTTTAAATTGTACAAAGACATTTTATTTTATTGGAATTTTAACGTTTTTAACTGTATATAGATATTACTTTTTTTTTAACTTTTTAATCTTATATTTTATTTGTTTTTAATTTTTTTAACGTTTTAAACTAGCAGTAAGGAAACGAATGTGATATTAATTTAAGTTTATTGTAATTTGATTTTTAATATTTTTTAATAAAGAAATAAAGAGACTCCCGCACCCCAGGTCCCTGACATAGAATAAGTTAGGGGAACGAGAGGGTGGCATAGAGCCACCCATTAAAAAAAAACCCTTATCACTTAAGGGTACGAAAGATAGATAGTAACCGTATCTCAGACCTACTGAATATGCATATAATTTCATAAAAATCGGTCAAACCATCTCGAAGAAGTATGATTACTAACATTGTGACATGACAATTTTATATATTATATAAGATTAACTATGTATTGAAAGGTATCTTTTTATTATGTTTCAGATAATGCTCCCGCAGATGCTGAAAGTGCAGATTCAAGAACATCACAATCAGATTCCCTCACGTCTAAACCAGCCCCGAGCTCGGAGAATGCAATAACTTCTGACAGCTCAAGGTATTGAGTTAGATGTACTTTTTATAACACCAATGATTAGAACAATTGAAAGACCTGCCTATTTTATCTAAAATTAAATAGATTTCTGTTATGAAAAACTTTTACAAGATGTAGTAATCCTTTTTTCCTCCTTTATTATATACTAGCGATTGCCCGCGACTCCGTCCGCGAGGAAATAAAAACACTTAATTACTCTATGTGTTCTTTCAGTCTATGTTCTACATTGATGCTAAATTTCATTCAGATTTATACAGCCGTTGTGAAGATACCTTCTAACAAACATCCATCTAAACATTCGCATATATAATATTCGTTAAATTTTGTATGAAAATTGTACACAGGACTTTCCTTAGCGCTTAATTATAACTGAGTACAACAGTTATTCATTTAATAAATGAAATAATTTCAGGGATGTGGAAGCGAAAGTGGAAGTGAAACTTCCCCAGGTGGTGTGCCAAGTGCTGGAGGAACTGGAGGCGTTAGTGCAACTCCTACACTCCGCAAACACCTCCTCTGATGATATAGAGGCTAAGACAGACTCTTATATTGTCAGGTTTGTTATTAAACTTCATTTTGAAATATTTTTTAGTGGCGCCTGATCTGTCTCCAAGGACCAAATTATTTATATCAAGTAAACATGAAGCTACAGCGTTGTAAATTCTTTTTTTACCATTTTTTTCTTCTTGCATGCAACTTGACATGAAAGGACATGATTGCATAAAAGATAGGAGTGAAATGGAAAATTGACCCCATCTTTTTATGACAAAAGGTGGCATACAAGCAACCGGCAGAATTCGCAAAATTAGCGAAACGTCCAGTACCCATATCCATCTATATTTAATTATATGTTGCAAAATTCAGGACGCACAGAAAGATATTTTCCCTTCCTATGAGTCTCTTCCTTTACCAAATTCACTACTCCTTCCCATTGTACAGTTGTAAGTAAACCATTGTATATTTCAGATTGGAGCGGGCACTGTCAGAGAACAGCGTGAATAGTCGCGTTCAGCGCAGCGCATGGGGCAAGGCGGCGCGCCTGCTGCGTGTCAGCCGGCACCGCCTGCAGCAACGTGCCGCCAAACACACAGACACACAGACTGCCAACAGTAAGTTGTCTTCACTGACTGACTCACTTAGCAGTATTAATCCGTCTCAATATTTATAGTCTCAAGGCCATCTCCGCGTTGGCAGTGCTTTTCATCCCAAACACACAGATTGCCAACATTAAGTTGTTTTGACTGACTTAGCAGACTTGATCCGTGTCAGTATTTTATAGTCTCAAGGTCATCTGCGCCTTGGCAGTGCTTTCTACCTTTTGTGTGCTGCGCAACGACTTGCCTGATGTTCTGAGCCTATAAGATGTTTTAAAAACGCAACTTTGATTTCAAGGTAAAAAATTGAGTCAGGTTTCAAGGTAAAAAGGACACAAGGACAGTGCTAACTAAAGCCTAGTTACTCTTAACTTAGGGTAGGCTCCGAGCTGCTCACTGGGGATGTATAGTGAGCTGATGATAATATGACTGCATGTATAAAAAAAGTGTTCACAATATTTCAGCAGCACCAACCACAATTGCTCAAACCATAGTCAACACGATTACAACAACATCTGTTACAACAACAACAACTACAACAGTTAACACAACAAGCAACAAACGTAAATATGAAGATGATGACGTCACGGATACAAGCAGATTGTCAGCTGACGAAAAGGAGGCTAAAATTGTTGAAACATTACAAAGGTAATTTTTCTCCTAATAAATACTGTTTTGTTCAAATTTTAAAATGCCTTTATATTATTACTCGCTGTCGACCGTGACTCTGTCCGCGCAGTAATAAGTAGACTATGTTCTACATTTGTGCCAAATTTGATTGAGATTCGTTTAGCCACTCCAGGGATACCTTCAAACAAACATCCATCCGTCCCTCTATTTATCATTTTAAATTTTTGTTATGTTGTTTTTAATATTGTTTTGTCTCTTATTCTTTGAATTTGTTTTTTTCTAATATATTTAGTAATTTTGTAAAGACAAAACTAATATGAGTTTATTTTTTAGGTTAAAGACACTAATTGAAGAACGCAGGCCAGGAATGATAGCGAACTACAATGCAGAGTGTGAGAGAGTACAAGAGGAAAGGTAATTTTTGTTATTTTATACACCTCAATAGAAACGTGACACAAATTGCCCTACTCAGTCATTAAGTGATCCCTTAGTGTAGAATTAGTATAAGATATCTTTATAGGGATGATATTTAATTTTATTTGATTTAATATGACTAATGTTTGGTAATGATAATTTTCTACTAAGTAATGTTATATGTAAGTAATGATCTGAGGGTGTAGGAAAACATCGTGATGCAACCTGCACATATCTGAGAAGAAATTCAAAGATATGTGTGAAGTCAACCAACCCGCACTTGGCCAGTGTGGTTGACTATGGTCTAATCACTCTTAACTTAGGGTAGGATCCGAGCCCCTCGGTGGGGATGTATGGTGAGCTCATAATGATGATGAATGTTTTATTTTTTCACAGAAAAAAGATCCAGATTGCATCTCGATCGGAAGGCGCGCCTATGATAGAGAAGCGGTTACCAAAGCGCAGGTTCCCCTGGTGTACCCGCAGCAGAGCTCTGCTCGCGCGGTTGGCGCGGCTGGCGGGCTCGGAGGCGGCTGATTTATTGGCGAGGAGAGCGCTGCCCTTGTTCCCTAAGGGTTTTGTCAGAATGCCTACGTTACTACGACAAGCGGAGTGAGTATAATGTAATATGTATGCATGTATGAATTGTCAAATGTATGTAGATTGCTGTAAACTGAATACTTTAACGATTATACAACTTACTGTGTGTTTCTGAGACCAAAATCCCTGCTTAAAACATTTTTTTATCTGTTTTGTCGAAGATAATCACGATATACAGAGATTTTGGTCTCAGAAACCAACGATAAATATTGCTGGCACCTATGATGTCCTTTTTTTAAATAAAAAAAATCAATTCATCTCTTTTTGTAGCGGAATCAAACATCTTAAAACAATAATGACTAAATAATCTTTAACTTTTCTTTTTCAGTCTCAGCAAAGAAATGAAAGCCGTGGAAACGAAACGTCAACGTATGAATACCGAAACACAACCAGTTATCAACCCACAACCAGTGTCGTACACGGAACAAATACAATTCCCCAGTTCACTAACGGTTACTACAAGTGTCAAAACAACGGACAAACAGGAGCCAGAAGATAAAGATTCAAAATACAAAATAAATCCAGCTGTATTCGGCAAAATAATCAATAGTTATTCAATAAGCAATGATCTTATTGTAGAAAAAGCTGAAGATAAAAAAAAAGATACCGCAGATAAAAGTAAAGAAGATATTTACATTCCTTCAAATAACATCGGCTGTATAACTATAACTCCAGTGCCAAATCAACAGAAACCTTATAAAAAAAATAACATTATTACAGATAAAAAAGAACCCTTATTAAAAGTTAAATCACCGGCCGCGTTAAATGAAATGGTAAAAAAAGATAAACATAAAAAGCCGGAAAAGAAGAAAAATAGAGTAGAATCACCTCTACATATAGAAACAGGTTACCAGAATAAAGAACCAACACCTAGTCCTAAGTCAAAAGAAGAAATAACACAGAAGCAATTAGAAAATATGAGAACAGCGGAGAACAATCTACCACGGCCAGCATTAATCCCAGTACATCATTCTCCAACCTTTGCGAAACCGGATAAGAGGCCTCCGGAAGTAAAGAAAAAGAAAGATGTGATGATAGTGTCTGATGTAGATCCTTTAGGTGATGTACAACAAGAACCTGTAGCTATAGATGATAGTAGTAGTGACATAGAAGTTGTAGAAGAGAAGACGGACAAAAGTGACAAGAATACAGTGCCTTTGAAAGACAAAGTGTGTGTGAGAGACGATAAAGTGAACAGTGTTAAAAAGGACTCTAAAGATGGTAAAGAGTGTCGACAGAATTATTTAGAAGAATCAACAAATGAAGATATGGATAATCTTATGAGAAATATTATAGCTATGGAGGTAGGAATCATTTATTTTCTTTTTTTAAACGGAATGAACATACGTGCCACTAACCGTAGGTTTCTAAGACCAAAATATCCAGTTACAAACAAGTTGTTATTTCTGTTTTGTCAAAGAGAATGACAGGAATGATGATATTTTTAATACACATATTTTGGTCTCGGAAACAAATATTTACTTTTATGCAAAAAATTGTAGTAGCATAAAGTGTGTAAATTTATTTTATACTATTTTTTGTTCTTGACGTAGTTTGCGTCACTTCACGTATTTTATAAACAACATTTTTGATTCTTTTGCTTAAAATTTAAACAATCTAAATTAAATAAAAATCTAGCGTTTTGTGGGCAACCCTATCTATCATTATCTAAATACTTCATCCTAACTATTTATTACTACTTGTCGCCGGCGACTCCGTCCGCGTGGAATTAAAAACTTAATTAGTAGTCTATGTATTCTTGCAGACTATGGTCTACATCTACGCCAAATTTCAAAGATCCATGCAACTGTTCCGGAGATACCTTCAAACATCTATCCATCCACACATTATAATAGTGCATGTGAAATGGTTCCATTCATTACATTCAGTATTTTTAATATCATTTCATTTGTTTTGATATAAAAAAGAAGAAATTGTTTGTCCGGATGTCATAAAAATCATTCCAATATATTCATATATGGGCATAACATTTCAGCATTCACAAGAACCTGCCAAGTTAAATTGCAACTCATATGGGGGAGTCATAACTAGTGGTAAGTTATAAATAATTGAAAAAGTTATGAAGTACATCATTATAACATAAATATTAAAATCTTATTATATAAATGTCAGTTTTCAATGTCAAAAAACTTTTATAAATAAAAAAGATAAGTTTTAGACAAGTATTTTGACAAGAAATGATAATTATAATATTGTAAAATCATTTATTCTTAAATTATTGTTTATTTAATTTATTTATATGCATATAAGCATCAATTTTTTAAATCTCAGAAGTATTTCGTAATCTTTTTATTAACTAAAATATATAGGTCTATATAAAATAGTTATTTTATATTTGTAGGACTATTAAACTATGTAATATTTTATATATCAAATAGTTTAATTTATGTAAATAAATATAATAGCATATATTTAAAAGTAAAAAAAATACTATATACTTAGGGAACGTACCCATACTACGTAACCCGTTTAGGGGGGAGCGGAGTCTTTAAAATACTAGTCAGTCATAGGAGCGAGGGTCGGGCTCAGATAATTCACTAGTAATTTAAGAATGCATGCAGTTCTTATGTTATAAAGAAGAGTATGAAAAATCATTTCTTTTTCAATTTTTACATGTGAAATGATTAGAAATAATAATTATGAATTACTACGTAAAAACTAAAGGGAGTCTTGGCATGTACTACGAGTAGTCACCGAGGGGAGGGAGGGGACGAAAAACTAAAAAAAATAGGTTACGTGGTATGGGTATGTTCCCTCCCTTATTACGTAAATGTAATCATTTAATAATCATTTCTATTTGGTACAATAATTTACATTTTGTAAAGTATGTCACAATTTGAAACTGATCAGACTCAATCATTGCTTGTTGCTTTAGTAACCATGTTTCATACAAATATAAGGCCTATGAGCCACTAACATGGGTTTCTTCACCAGCAAAGCACGAGGTGTCTTCCAAACAATACAACGCAAGGAATGCTATATTTGGGGATCAGCGTAGCGATAAAGACAAATTGTAAGTGATCAGATATGATCGGTGCTGTGTGCCCTTCCTAGCCTGGATTTGCGGACCTATGTAGTATAATTTGGGTGGTTATGAACGATAACATTTCAATAGCTTTTATAATACAAACATATGTATATATAATAGGTTTCATCCTTATCTGTACTTTTAGATATTATTAGTTTTTTTTTTATATCATAAGCTGAAATAGCAGTGACCGTTGCCCATAGACATACGCAATTACATATGCGTTGCATACCATTAATCGACGGAGAAAGAAAACATTTCCATGCATCCTCTCATCCGGAAAGTCCACTTACACTTCCCATTTTTTCCTTACAAGAAAAAGGGTAGGAAGGGAAGAGGACTAAATTAGGCCTCCGGGACGCACACTCATCAGACGAAACGCGGGATTGCTTCCACTCCACGCCTGTCTTCTGTGTGGTCGTGGTATTTCACCGGGCGAGCCGGGCCAATTCGAGCGAAGATGTTAAAGCGGGCTCTACCACTGTTAGTAAGAATCATTTGGCGCGAATGACGTGCTTTCGTTACAAAGTCCTGTGTCAGAATGAATAGTGAGGGGACATAAATGTCGACATTTTAGTAAGGCTAGTGTTGGGTTAATACACTGACTCATTTTCGGATTTTCTTCCTAACGCTACATAGGTTATAATATAGCAACATCCCTTTTTGCATTTTAATGTTTATGTGTGAGTTTGTATGTATGTTAATATGCTAAAAAAGAAGTGTCATTTAACTCCCGTTTCTCTCCGGAGTTTATGATCCAAATTTTCATCATCATCAGCTCACTATAGTCCATACTGAGGGGCTCGGAGTCTAACCTATTATAGAGACTGGTGACAAGGCCATAGTAAACCAAGCTGGCCCAGTGTGGTTTGGTTGACATCAAAAATTCATTTCTTATTAGACTTTTCTTAAAAGATCCTTGCAATCATGCATTAACAAATTCTAGATTTTATTTCTAGTTTTACTAATAAGTTTTTAAGGGATTTGTTTAATTTTTAGGGTTCCGTACCTCATAGGAAAAGAACGGAACCCTTATAGGATCACTTTGTTGTTCGTCCGTTTGTCTGTCAAGACCCTTTTTTATGGTTTAATTATTGTATATTTTTATAATATAAACCGAATAATATTTTAGTATACTGTAAATTAAAAAAATGTGTATTTTCATTGAATTTCTGGCATATTAATCTTTCATAATTGCCCAAATTTATTTAATAGACCTATCGCTTACTACTTATTTTCTTAATACCACTTGATTCATTTTCACCAGATTTGAAGTTACTATAATTTCATTTAGATAAACCGCTGTCAAATGTATTTAGAAGTTTCTAGAAAGTCATAAAAAATAATATTAAAAAGAGAAAATATCTGTACCTACTTTGTTGGTTAAATAACTGAATTTTAATATAAAAATTAAAGATATTTCGCTTAAAATAAGTTCATTGTTAAGTTAATATATATTATTTTATTTTAACCATATCGTAAAACTTTAGGGGAAATTGTGATATAGCTCATTTCATCATCTCACATCAGTTCACTATACATTCCTACTGAGGGATTCGGAGTCTACTCTAAGTTAGGGTTTACTTAACACATTTCTTCTTTGAATTTCTTCTCTGATATGTGTTAGAAGTTCGCCGTAAGAACATCAGATAAATGTACATATGTAAATCGAAAAACACATTGGTATATGACGTGATTCAAACCCAAGACCTACAGATTGCAAGTCTCAACCTCTGAGCAACCGATATTCTCATCGATCGAAGCTTCCCTGACTATGAATGTATTTATTTCTAAGATTTTTTTTAACCTGTTTAGGTATATTTCCTGGCCTTAATCAATATTGACGTGTATAAAAAGTAAATTTCTCCAAAGGTTAGTAAATATGTCGTTTGTTGCGCTAAATATATAGCTTGTATAAAAAAGTTAAATGTACACCATTATACTTATAGTATATACTATCTATAATCTATAATAGGTCTGTTTGTCTATGAATTGTGTAAAGACATTTAATAGCTTGATTTCATATTAAAGTAGCGTACTCAAATTCAAATAAAAATTACATATTGAATGGCTGGAAAAACTGATTCATATATTCGTAAGAAAATTAATTAGTGATACATAGTAGAATATATAAAACAAATCGCATATCTATATAATAACATTCAAGTTCTAATCAAGAGGTTTTTAAAATAACAATTTTCTCAGGTGATGGCGCTATTTATACGGAGATTTAAAACAAAAAAGCTATGCTCAATCAATTTTATCTCGCTTTAATTCGTGCTAAGCTTGATATTGTATTTCATTCGCACTGTTTGATACATAAGAATATTTAACTTCGTATATGTGTTCATAACCTAGCCTAGCTGGCTATCCTAGCCTAGCTAGCTATCCTAGGCTACCTAGCTATCCTATCTTTGCTAGCTACCCTAGCCCAGCTACCTATCCTAGCCTAACTTTGGCTACTTTTAATTCTATATCCGCTATTCGGTGTTTGGCAACTTGCGTGTAATCTATTCACAACTATTTATATCTTTACAGCATTAAAGTTATTATACAGTCAAATACAAAAGTGTTATTATTTTGAATTTTATTATTTAATATGATGTTAAATTTATTCTTTATTATTTTATTGATAAACATTTTTTATCGCTCAAATTGCAGCCTTACAATGAATTTTAAAATAAAATGTTTTAATAGTAACATTTTTGATCACGACTGTACTCACATAACTGTCAGTTTTGTATTGTTGCTGTACAATTGGTTGGTGTCCTACAGAGGTTTCATTTGTTTCAGCGCAGGACTAACTTCTTTGAACAAAATGGATGGATGTAGCGTCATCACAGGTGAATATATTTACTTACATTTTTTATAACTTATTATATATTGAACGAGATTTCGACCATATGGAATTAAAAGGCAATAAAATCTGATAGGCAATGTTCTACGTGGCCAAATTTCATACAGATCCATGCAACCGTTCTGGAGATACCTTCTAACAAACATCCATCCATCCATCCGTCTAAATGCTCAATTAAATAATATTGCAAATCTTCCTAATATTATAAATGCGATTTTTAGATGGATGCTTGTTTGAAGGTATCTCCAAAACGGCTGCATGGATTTTGCTGAAATATGGCATAGATGTAGAACATAGTCTGGAAGAACACATAGGCTAATTATTAAGTTTTTTTTTATAATTCCGCGCGGACGGAGTCGCGGGCGATAGCTAGTAATCTATATAGTTTTAATATAAGTATTTTAATAACGTAATTAATGTAATTATTTTGTTTTAGGTTAATATGGTATAATGAGAATTAAATGTGAGTACACTTAGTAATATTGTGCAGCAGTGTACCGCCGCTGCAGACTGCGTCCACAACAGTCCACCCCATTTTTGTATCATCGGATTAGTATATAAATTTGTAAATGTCCGCTAAAGAGAAAATTGCTGCCACAAATAATAATGTTTAAACCGGTCTTAGTGTAGATTTTACATTAAATTCACACTAAGGCATGCCCTTAGTGACAGCATTATTGGGTATGGCAGTTTATTAAAATTTAAGACAAGCATCCGACACTTGGGGATTTCAAATTTAGTTTTTTTTTTGGCTGGAAATTCTTCTTTTTATTATGTTTAATCATGTTTTTTATTTTATTTATATTTGAAATGCAAGTGTCTGATTGATTTATGTTCGCATTATTATGTAAATGTCACTATAGTAATTGAACTTACCGTAGGTTTCTGAGACTACAATCTCTGTATAAAACATATCATTCCTGTATCTTTGACAAAACAGAGATAATATGTTTTAAACGGAGATTTTAGTCTCAGAAACCTACGGATAGTAATTTCTGTTACATTACGATTGGAAAGTTAGATTGTTATCGCAGTAGGGTTATTAAACTGGATTTAACTGCTTTTTATCTCAAATTAATTTCTATATAACAATAAAATATGTATGTTCTTTTTTTTCTAAACTCAACTACTACTATCTTTCACCTTTCCCTACCAATTTTTATGTTTAGTACGATTATAAAATGACTTTACAATCTGCAAATGACATATGTTACTGTTTATGAGTGAAAATATAAATGATTGGGTTTATTATGTTGATATTTTGATTTTTACCTTTGTAGTAGGAAACATCATCGCAAATTTGCAATTATAATGCGAACTTAAATGCTTGTCAGTGTGTACAGTCAGCTGCATGAAGTTACATTTATAAAATATACTTGAAACATGGTACATACAAGTCTGTAATTTATAATTGTATAAATATTTATGCAGCTGACTGTACATAACCTGAGCCTGTATAGAAGACACGTATTTTGTATAAATTAGATTATAATATAGTTTTACACGATCCCCTTTCCTATTTACATGACTGCTCCACAACTCCTTTTCTTATAGGTTGTAATGCATAGACTGTCACATGACTAAAAATTCAACTGTCGTGGCATTTGATATTGCTGTCCCTTTTATTGTTGAAAAGAATGAAAGGGATGACATTATATAGTACATGTGTGACGTCAGTGGAATTCAATGGTTAGAGATCACTGACGTCTATATATGGATAGGCTACGAACAGTTGTATTTTGTGCCAATTTCATTTTCGCCATTTTGGTTCTGACGGTTACGGTAGCGGAACTTCAACAGGAGGGTTTAAATCGAAACGAAGCAAGAGCTGTTGCCAAGCTTTAGCCTATCCATTTATAATCAGTGTTAGACATAAATCTATTAGACTGTAAAGTAATTGAGTATTAAAGTTTATTGACTGAATTCTAATGATTTAAGAGTTAAAAATCAAATGTCAAATGAATTTTAAATGTCAAAAATGACGTTTCCAAGTCTAGTAACTGAATCCAATTATTTATGTTGATGTATTTTTTTTTAATTATAAGGTGGCAAATGAGCAAGCGGTCGCCTAATTTCGCTGAAATAGCGAACTGACCGCTAGACATCCGCAACTGCAAATGCCTATCTTTAAACGTAGGAGAAATTAACGATGAAACGTTAAATGCTTTATCAACTGTAAACTTTTAATGATACAAAATATGGCTTCCATTCTTAAAATTGGCGCGAATTTTTTGAGCGCGTAAGTCGAATGTTTAATTGTTTTTGGTTTTTCCGTGAATTGAAAAAGTTTAAATGTATTTTAGAAATCGTGGAGCAGTGTTTTTACGCCATTGATTGAGCCTTGATTTATTGCGGGGAGCGAATTATTTTTCGAGCAAGCTCTCAGAAGTATTGTTTTGTTTTTATTATACCAAAATTCCAAATTATGTCCTGTGTAATGAAATAAATATTTATAATGAATTAACCATAATGTTCTTGTCGTTTTATTTCTCCTATGGTGTTGTCAGCTGTGAAAAATAATATAAATGAAACGCTATAAATGTCAGTTTATATATTTTTTTATTAATTTCACAAAATTATTCATTAAAAGCCACAGTTTGAAGGCTTTTAAGCTGTCAAAGCGACGGTTTAAGTACCGTTTGTCTTACAACTGTGATATAGAAATGGGAATTCAGAAGCTATCTAATGTCTACATTATAAACGTTTACATTTCATAGAAAATATCGACACGCTCAAGGCAGTCAAAGCTTGTATTCTATTGCTTGGGGAGCGGACCAACGAGCGGTTAAAAAAACGCGCGTTCCAACCGCTTGTTAGTAACATTGACTTAACTAACGTGAATAAATCTATGTTTACGTATGTAGAACAGCTCTGTGAATAACGATGTTACAGTGAGAAGCGACATTGAATGCTTCTAATATATTTGTTACATTTTGAAGCTAATCTGTGATGTCTAAATCCAACTTCTTATAAACTATTAGACGGAATGAACTTTAAAAGACAATATCTGCATAAAGCTCATCCCGTATCATAAAATAAATTTAACCTACAAATGTTATAGACACAAAAACACTCATTATATTTATGTAAATATCTTTCAGCTCTGAAACTTATTTCGGGATTACTTTTACATGGGTCCCGAAAAAACTTTACCAACAAAGCTATATATTTTCAAACAATAAAACATATGGATATTTTACATAATATAATTAAAAATGATAGCGTAAGGATTTATCTATATTTAATGCGGATTTTATAGGACATTAGGTACAAAATATATTCATCATTAAAAGCTCAAAATTTTCAAACACCTTGTCTTGAGTATATCAAATACAATTCGGCCAAACGGGCAAAATAAAAAGGTCCTATAAATTAATTACAAATGGACCGATATAAATACAAATCTCGAACAAATAAGGCATTCGAATGCCCAAAAGCTTGATAAGCTACATTATAAATATATCGATATATTAAATACTCCACGCGGTGACATATATAGAAAAAATATTCGTATTTCGCAATCGATACGTATTTTATACAAGCTTAAGCAAAAATAATTTTTTATATACCATAGACTTTATTTTGTATAATCTATGCTACAGCAATATGTCACACCAATTCTTACGTCAACTGTCAACCCCGCCTTCACATTTCAAGTTGACGTGTGCCTCCAATGTTACCAACATTAAAAAATTTCATGTGCTGGTAATCTAAAATTATCAATCTCGTCACTTGTAATACTTGACATCAATTACTACACTAAAATTAATCATATCCAAATAAGTTTACAAATGTTATTTACAGTCCAATCGGAAAATATCCTAATAAAATTTTATCATCAAACTTAGTAATTACATCGACATCTAAGGTAGCATGTCTTCGATATAAAAAAGATGTTATTTTACTATTAAGCCTCAGCATTTACTTTAATGTGTGTATCCCAAATCTTTAAAATTAATATAATCAACTGATTTTAACAATTAAAGTCTATAGATTAAAAATTATCATCGCATTAAGAAATTAACTCGTCTAGGGTTGTTTCCTGTTGGGTCGATCAGCTCACCAATCGATCAAATCGAATAGAATCGATCGAATGAGTAGAAACAATCGACTCAATCGGGAAAAAATCATTCCTTTAGCATCGGCTGTGACAACTTACAAAATTATGCCGCCATTTTCAAAATGGTGTACACTGTCTACAAAATACAAACATACGCCTATCGACTAGTGATTAAAAGGTAACTATAATTACACACAATAATAAAAACTTAATTACAATTTAATCTGTTGATTCCATCATACTTTTTAAATTAATCGGTTAAAAATATCGGTCACATATTTTTACGGCATTTACAAATAATAAGAAACGAATTTTAAATTTCGAATTATTTTAAATTTTAGCTAAATTTTGGATGTAAAATATGATTATTTCATTGGAAACATAATGATATCGGTATAATATGAATAAAAATTCTTAACAATTATATGAAAAATATTTCTTTACGTATGGATTTATATGCTTTTTTATATTATGCAATGTATTTAAGAGTGTAGTCGGGAAAAAATAGAACATGTTACAAATTCACAACATAAATAGTATTTTGATAAGTTTCTTCACGAGAAATGATAATAAAATTTAATGACATTTATGGATTTGTGCATTAAAATTTTTACATTTATTACTACTGACAAAGAATTTCGCAGTTCATATATAATAGACAAATCATAAATATTATAGATAAATAATTTATTAAAGAAACATGTAACAATTTAAAGTAATTTAAATTAAAGAAGTAATATAAAACAGGTTTTCTTTAGGAATAAGATTCTAAATGCGCATATTTAATATTTAGGCAGGACAAGAGTGGAGTTATAAAGGTGTAGCCGCATTTATTTTTGACTAAAGTCTCTCTTAGTGTACAATTTTTATAGTAAATCAATACATAAATAATTAAATACACTAAGAGTCTGACAAAGTAACCATTAACTGATTCTGAGTGTAGTAACAGGTATGCTGCGGGGCGCAGCGGGCTCTATGCGTGGATTATGGCCCGGATTCCTCCTGAAACGAAACCAGTGAAAACACTATCTTATTGTTAACATAAGTAATGTCTCGTGGGAATCTACACTAAGGACATCAAGTGTTTTTTTTGTGACTGAGTTGTCACTGTTTGCCTTTAAGAGGCATTAACAGCTTCACCGGGCTTGAGGTGGCCGAGCGCAGATGGCGCTTAGCCTGAACCTCGTGACATCAAGTGTAGCAGATAGAGTGTTATATAGTTACATTGTTTGAGTGCGTTCAAGAGGCGCGACGTCCAGTGAGTGAGCCGACGAAGGACTTGAGGGCGGCGCCCAGTGAGTTCCGCCCCTCCGCCCCGCCCCCGGTCCCGCCTCCGCCGCCAGCAAGTGCCGCAGCGCCGCCGTGCGCGTCCAGGCACTTCTGATAACGCAGCTATAAAACATAACATTATTTTTAGTTTGACACAGACATCTTATCTCTCTGTCGCATCGCTTAAGTTATATCCTTCTATTTCATGTAACGAAATGTACTTCATCGTGACGCGCTATATTCAAGGTGTACCTTGCATGCGGCCTCTATAGTCTTGCAGAGGGCGCCGGAGGAGGGCTCGGCGTGGAAGGCGTGGGCGACAAACTGCTGGTGCTGTGTGTGCACGATGAAGGCGCAGCGCCGCACGTCGCGTCCGATACCCAGGAACGACAGGTAACGAACGCGGCACTCCACTATCGGGCTCGTCTCCTACACACCCAACATAAGAAGTTCCGATTCAGATAAATAACAATTTAACGAGTCGATAGCAAGAAATCTTACTAATTTTATAAATCAGGATGTATGGATGGATGTTTGTTAGATCTCGCTGAAATTTGGTATAGATGTAGAACGAAGTTTGGAAGAACACATAAGGTCAGACACACAGTGGAAGATGCAATGCAGTGCAAAGATATCCAGTTGTACACGAGTATCCTCGCATTATACTGACCCCCTCCTCAGTGATGGTGATCATGGAAGGCGCGACTGCCACAGCGACAGGGCGCCAGGCGCTGGGCGCGCGCGCAGCCGCAAGTCGTTGCAGCGCGTCGTTGAGCACGTCCATGCCGGTCGCGCGAGGCACTTCCGCGCTGCCCAGGTACCGCGCACGCACCGTCTTGCGCGGCTCCTCCATAGGCGTCGGGAACGACGCACCTGTCATATATTTTATTCTCTTACCTCTAGGTACCCTCTTTATCATTAAAACTTTGCTACTGAAATAAAAACTAAGAGACTACAACCACCAAAGGACGACGTACCAGAGAGTGGTCTTGGTCGCCTGGCTGCCGGCAGATCAGTGGGACGCGGCGGCGGCTGCAGAGAGCGTTCGATCATGATGCGCTTGCAGATGTCGCGCAAAGCGTTGGCGATTGCGCGCGCGGGCGCCTCGCACCGGAACACGTGGCACATGTGACGCCGCGTCGCTCGATCGCGCGCAACATACGCGAAGTCCCTGCAGCGTCATGATATTGTGAATATTGGCAAAACGAGTCCTTAAAAATCACACAGACACACACACACAAACCTTAATGGTGTTGTATATATCCATGGTGGTTAATCAATTAAGGTCCTTCGTACACAAGGAAACGTAAATCTTTGCGTCGCGAGAATCCGGTTGCGCGTGCTTCGATACACAAAGTTGAATCATCGACGCGAGTCGTCTACACAGTACAGACCGCGACTATACGGCTGACACGAATACACAAAAATTCAACTGTATAGTTTTGCTCGGCCATCTTGAAATTAACAGGGACTTTCCTCACTAGGAACTTAAGAAATAGGTAGCGAGCGATTGGCTTTGCCGACGAAAGAAGAAAATATTGGCGGTTGCCTGTCTACTAAAATTGCCAGGTTCCAAAAATTGTAGCCTTGTGCACGAAGAATTTATAAAAAATACAAACCACACAATTTCCTAATATTCGCATCAAATATCAAACACAAAACAAACGTGACTAGCAATAGCATGTGTTAAAATCATTTAATCGCAGTGATGTTTTAATGAATCACGTCATTTGTTTTTTTAAGGTTATTTTAATTTAAAGTTTTTAAAAATACAAATAATGTCATTTAATAATTTAGCGTTTGTCAAAATATAAAAAATAACACGATTGTAATTCTGATTGGACGTAATTTAAAAAAATTAAACAGTCTTATAAAATTCTTTAAATGTAAGTACAATTTGATTTTTTTTATGTTAAGTGCTTATAATGGAATCCATAAAGCAAAGCATTTAGGTCATTATGATTCATTTTAATATCCCTCAACTACAATGAAACTAGCTTAAATACTACAAGCTCTACTAAATTCATACCTTTCACTATCCCGAGAATGCCACAGAAAAAAATGTTTTAGTCAGAATTTTTCCAATTTGTCTTTCTTCGTCTTTAAATAAATTAGAATTCTATTTTATTAAATGTCTCATATATCGATTATCTAGTAAAGTTCCAGAGAATATTTTTGTGTTTAAAACAAAACCCGGCGAAAAGAGATCTTAAGTTATTCCATAAAGCAACTCAATTATAAAACATTAAATAAAAATCTCTGATATCAAAATTAAACACAAAATCATTTATAAACTTATACTAAAACTATCAACAGTCAAAAATGCCTCCTTTTGTGACTAATCTTACCGTCCATTGTCTCTGCCGACCCCCCACACACGTATGGTATGTATGGGCTGTGTATGAAGCGTGTTTAGACTCTCAGGATCGATTAACTTCAATGCCCCGTCGTCCAGATCCATGAATAAATCTTTGCCCTGGAAATATCAAACAATAATATTGAAATTATTAAAGCATAGGTACATCATCATCATCAACCTGCCCTTATCCCTATCGAGGGTCGGTACAGTATGTACTACTCCTCCATACATCTCTATCAGCCGTCATATCCGAGTCAACCCCCGTCGTACGCATATCCTCTTTCACACAGTCATTCCATACTTTTTGGTCTGGAATGAAAGGTACCTATTAAAGCATAGGTACAAAAATAGCAAATGACATCTCTCAAAATGTTAAGAATAAATTCGACCATTGTAAAAGGATACATCAGTAGGGTTGAACTAATATAGACCTGCATTCAAACATCTGACTCACATGGTTACCTAATAAATTAACGCCTCAGTTAAGTGTCGAATTACTATAGTACTTACGTCGCCCCATCTAGCGGCATGGTCCAGCAGATCGTTGCGGCCAAGGCTGAGATCGACGATGCACTTATTGACGGCGCGACTGGAACGCTCCGGCGTCAGCTCTTCCTCACCAATTTCCACCCAGCCCAGCGAACGCACAAAGAACCTCACCGCGCGACCTTCTAACTCGCCGCGGGCAGGATAGCTGCGACGTCTGGAAAGACCAAACGTAAGACACAAATTGTTATTGTCATCCCTGTCATTATGTTTGAAAATACAGAGATAATCCAAGTTTCTTGTATAATACGCACTTGTAAGAGATCTCCTCCTTCCTCTTGCGTTCCTCCACATCAACGTGGTCGAGGGCACCACTGGTGGTGCTCCTCACCACGGAGCTGGCCATCTCGTACTTGGCATCGGCGAGACTGGAACAGTCGCGCACCATCGACAGCCGCTCCCTTCCTTCTGGGCGGGGCAGCTCCCGCTGGATGGTACCGCTCTTGATGTGCCAGTAGTATGGACCGTCGGCATCTGACAAATATAATTGGACCCATTAGACATAGAACTTGTCTCTCTTATTTATTGAATTATAGTTGACTAGAGTACTAAACCTACCCTCATGTTTCTCCCAACCTGGTGGCAGCTGGGGTTCCTTCTTGGGTCTAAGTTTGACTGGTATAGCGTAGAGATCGTCGTTGGGACCTGCGCAGTGTGGTACGGGGCCGGCATGGCTCTTCTCTGAGTCCTCACGATCCGCCCTCTCTTTCTCTGGAGGAGGTGAGTCCTCACCCCCATTTTGTTGGGGCGGCGTGATTAGGCCGCTTTTATCACTGTAACATAGAGAACATAACATTTATAATTAAAAAATGGATCAATTTTCACTTTCTACTACTTTGTGTATTGCAAAGAGAATGTGATAAGAAACTAGAATCGACTATTTTTTGTTACTGCGTCGGAAAGCAGGGATTAAAAATACAGAGGGCGCTTAGTTAAATGCGGGAAGTTCAGACCATCATTTGGTTGCTTATCACCTAGTATAATTTTTTCTTCTCTTATTAAATCTACAATAAGGGACTCCATTAGTGACCATTTGACGTTCCAGAGTATGGTAGAAACAATGTTTTTAATTTTTTACCAATAAAAGTCATTACGGGAAATGAACACGACAATATTTCATGTTGTCGTTGTTACAATGTAAAGCGGATGTAATTGTTTGTATCAGGAAGTTTTGTTATGAATCACAACAAGCTAATTACCTACAACGATGTCAGACATTGCATGCGTGGGAAAAGTATTTTGTTTGTCACTATAACGCTATTTAGTACGTAGGTGCTTTGATTATTTGATGAGGATATGAGTCTTTTTCATCTGACACATACGTTAGATCAGTCTTAGGTCTACTAGCGGCCTGGGCGAGATTGTTACGGCTCTTTATATTACCATGCTCGTTTATTTGAGACTGTAATTCGCAGCGTTTAGTAAAGCCTTCTTAAAACGTTATTTGTGAGGTGAAGTTATTTAAAGTTAGATTGAATCTGTTTAATCACTTAATGTAATTAGTAGAATTGTTTGATAAGTAAACGACTACTTACTTTGCCTTTGCAACTGGGGAAGACGCCTCGTCTTCAACTCTGGAAATAAGATGAAAACTCAATTAATATGAATCATATAATATCATTTTAATAATAAATATAAATAAAACCGAATATTTCTTATCTATTATACGTGGAGCGAAAACGTTCGATCCCTTTTTGACTTCCCTTCCCTCCCTTCCTTACCTTGACAATTGTATACGTATATAATCTTTGATTATGAATTGTTCAAATTTTAATCAATTGACGACCACAATTTTTTTTCCTAAGTAATCTTTCCTAAGTCGTAAACAAAATAAACGCTATAAACTTTTGAAGACCACAGTTGCAAACATAAATTATTGTTTTCTCAAAGATTTAATTTAATTATTTAACTTTTATAAGTTTGTATTAGAGAAGAGCTTTACAAATATTAAACTCCCGAGGTTTGAAAATTATTAATGTAAAAGTTTCCGAGCGTTCATTTCGCGGCGCTTTCTGAAGCTTTTTAATCTGTTGCTCTACGGATTATTTCTGTACAATAGCGAGATTAAATTTAAAATAAATTATGTTTTTAATTCCAATATTTATATAGTTAACTATACGTAATTAAAAAATGGGTACAGGTAAATAAATAAGATTTAAGGTACGCGTTAATTGGGCGCGCCAGCCGGACCGAAAGACAAAGAAAATCCGTTTAATCCGTGCGTGCGGTGCGTCCGGCGCGGGCCAATGGACGCGTACCTTTTGTATACATTTTTATATCATAGAAATTGATTGTGAAAAAAAATGTCGTAGTTTGTTTTATATCACTAACTTAAAATTACATTTTCTTCATACGCATTAATAAGATTGGATGGTCAATGTATGTATAATGCATTTCGTACTAATATTATAAATGCGAATGTTTAAATGAATGTATGTTTTTATGCAGATATCTCCAAAACAGCCGCACGGATCTGGTTGAAATTTGGCATAGATGTAGAACATAGTCTCGAAGAACACATAGGCTATTTTCGGAGACGTCGGCGACAGCTAGTGTTTAATAAAACATTTTTTTTTCAATGTTTAATTCATTTTTATTCATCTTTACGTAGGTAGTCTTTGCCCGGTCATCACAAGGGCAGACAAATCAATTCTATGACCGCTTAAGAGGTCAGCTCAGAGGTCGAATAGCTTGTAGCATGTGCTGCTATCATATACATATCTTAAACAAATAACATTTAATTAACCAAGCTATATTTATCTTGATGTATAAAGATACATAATTGTATTTTTAACAGATAACTAAGTATTTGTAGTCATACTAATATGAAAAAAGGATGACATTTGTTTGTAAATGTAAGCAAATCTTACTAATATTATAAATGTGAATGTTTGTATGGATGGATGTTTGTTTAAAGGTATCTACAAAACGGCTGTATAGTACTCGCTAAAATTTGACATAAATGTAGAACGTAGTCTGGAAGGAGACAGAGGCCACTAATTAAGTTTTTTTTAATTAATCCAACGTGGCCGACAGGAAAGAATATTGTGTAATTTTTTTATTGACAATATCTATTTTAGATTTAGTTTTTAATATAAGTAAAACAATTAAATGTAAGTATAGTTGGTTGAAAAGTTTCGTATGTCTTGCGGAAATTCAAGATGGCCGCGCTACGTTTGCACCTGTTTGCAGCTGAATTCAAAATGGCGGACATAAAAATGCACGTATTCAGACAATTCCTAGTAAAATATCGCTTTAAATGTAAATTTTAATCTTACATATGCATTTAGAATACATTTATTTTATTCTTCTGTTCAATTTTTTGCTTTGATTTTACAAAAGAGTAAAATTTAAGTTGAGTTTTAAGTACATATTATTTTCCTATAGTTTTAAATGACGGAATGATATTACTTAAATATAAAACATAGTTTTAATTAAGAATCGAATACTTCGCATTTGTTACGGTCTCGTGGCGTTAAATAATTTTAATTCCATCGAAAAATTTCCCGCAAACTACATTCTTGAATAGAAATAACAAGTTTCGAAACTCGTGTAAAGTTTTATTTACTTTACATTTCTAGAGATTTTCCCCAGCAAAGTACTCCGCAAACTTTGTCTTTACAAACTCGATAAATGTTATTCAAGAATTCATTTATTTCTTACTACTATTTAATAAGTTTCTACATTTTATTATTTCTTAAAAACTGAAAATTTAACTTTATAAAAGATTATGCAAAATTCAAATGCCAAACTCAAATCCTTTAATCAATCGATAAAAGAGAATTTTAGTGTAAGTATCTTATGAGAAATCTACACTAGCAGTTAAACTCTATACAAAATATTTGTTAAAAATAAAATTAAAGCAAACCTTTTTGCTTTGTGCGCATTTTTGAGCGAATGAGAATAAATTTATACCATTTCTAACCGTCCAGTATCTTCAGAACATCGTAAACAATCCGGTAGATCATGGTGCAAAAAAAAGCCATTTATAACTTGGGTTCATTTATTTAGTATCAAGAAACGAGAATCGAGGTCATTGAACCCGCAACGACATGAACTAAATTTGCGTCATTATTCGGCTAGATTTGTCTAACTGAAGTTATATTTGGCAGAGAAAAGGGATATTACCCAGACCAATCTTTATTTCTGTTGGTTTACATTGTAGGACTCTCCTTCTCTTTCCCACTCATTCAACCTAACTTTTCCCTGCGGAGAATTCATATATCTCAATCAGCCATGTCTGTAAAAGATACTTTATTCCATTCTTACTTATTTCATCTTTCATACAATCCATCCATATTTGCTTCAGTCTTCTACCTTTGTAGCTATTCTTACCATATGGTAAAATATCTTACTAATATTATAAATGCAAATGTTTGGATGGATGAATGTCTGTTTGAACGTATCACCAGAATGGCTCACCGTATCTAGCTGACATTTGGCATAGATGTAGAACATAGTATGGAAGAACTCATAAGCTACTTATTATTATATTTCCAACTGTGCGTAGTCACGGGCGACAGCTAGTTTTACATTTAACAAACCTGTACAATTATACAACATTTTCGTTATGCCAAATCAAAGGTAAATTAACGTAAAATAAGGTCAATGACCTAAATGATCATCGTTGCATGTTTCTGTTCTGCGATTCACTCATGCGATCAATGAAATTATCTATTTTAGTTTTCAAACGTTTATATTTTATGTGTAGTGTTATTGTGTATTAAAAACAATACATAATCCCTGATTCTTATGTGTCTATGTATACTAGTGTATCTATTTAAAATTAATAATCACGAAAGTTTCGATTGCAAATTGACGTTCTTTGAGAACATCATCATCAGCTCACTATACGTCCCCACCGAGGCGTACCCTACCCTAAGATAAGGGTCTATGAGAACAACCAGCGAAAATCGAAGAAATTCTTAATCGATTTTATTCAATATCTAGTGAATTGCCAAATTAAATCTTAAATATACTATATTAAAGTAAATTAATCAATTTAATATAAAAACAATGAAAATATTTTTATTAATAGTGTATGTTCTTGATGAAAATACATTTCGTAACTTCGTCACCTTCAGAGTTACATAAAGCAAGGTATATAATATGGAAACAATAAGTCAGGGGAGAGGGATGCGGGGAAGGGACGGGGGTAGCTACGTGACGATCCCGACTTTTATTTCAGCTGGAAATTCCTGTAAAGTCCGTGTTCACGCGTGGTCCAAGTGATAAGAGTTAGCGGTTTGAATTGAGATTAATATAAAAAAAAAACATGTACAATGTAATAACTATAGGTATAAGAGTTTTATTTACACTGTTGCATAGTTTTTATATCACTAGCTGTTGCCCGCGACTCCGTCCGCGCGGGATTAAAAAATAGAAAGTAGCCAATTCTCAGATCTACAGAATATGTACATATATAAAATTTCGTAAAGTATTTTCGGAGGATTGTGGTAACTTTAACATTGTGACACGAGAATTTTATATAAAAGATTTATTATATTCACAGAAATACCTGAAAATTTATCCAACTCGAAATAAATTTATACTATAAGCATTTATTTTTGTGTTGTCTGATTTTTTTAGATTAAATTCGTGAGAGAGATCGTGGTACAATAATTCGATTAAAGATTTGGACTTAAAAATAAACGCTATTCGCATGTTACTTACATCGTATACAAATAGCTTTCGTTGCCAGACAAACAAATGGTGTACTTTTGTGAAAGAAAGAGTGCTAGTACCCTGTCGCAGTAACACGATCTCTGATTTCAGCCTGGAGACACTCGTATAAAAGAAATCCTTCTTTTGACAAAGTCGCATCTTTTTACTACTCTTCCTGTATACATTTATAAACATGCATATTTATAAAATATAGTTCCATTTTTTCTTATTACATTTGTAGTATTTTTGTACTCGTTTCTGTGCGTAATAAAAAGTTCATCATTTCTTAGGTACAATATAAAATGTGGGCTATTATTATCATTAGTTTAGTTTAAGGAGTGAATAAATGCTCATATATTAGTGAGTGAAATGTTGTAGTCTCTTTTAACTTTTATTGACTGTCTATTTTTAAAAATCTTCAAAAGTGATATCATTCAGTGACATTTACGAAATTGGTCACATCTCTGAAGGTCAATTTGAATTAACAATACAGTGAAAATGTCAAAGGTTGAGACAATCTTGGAATAAACGTGTTTTTGTTACTTTTGACACATTTTATAAGTCTGGTAATAGACATACAAACATAACAACAGCATAATAAATAAAGGTTGCCTATGTAACATTTGCCAATTAACGAGTTTAACAGTTCATATGAATGATTGAATGAAATCGTAATATTTCAATATTGCAAATGAAAAGCGCACTAACGAGGCATTTAGTGAGGGCGCAAAGCAGCTCGAGTACTGCCGATCTACAGCAGGCGTCAAATGAACGATAATTATGCAGAGCAAAGCAACTCGCTTTAAAATCTTTTTTAATTCATGATCAGGACGTTCACCTGACGTTTAAGTGGGTACTTTATGACGAGATGAGTGTTAAATATACTGAAACTATCAATGTATTGCACTAAAAGGTCTATGGATTAAAAATCAATTTTGAAAGGTTCAAATTAAAAGTACAATGAATGAGTCTTATGTCACATAACACTATGAAATTTACCTGTTACTGTTGGTTTTATATTATGTATATGAAGGACATTGAAAGTCGATTAACGCGTTATGGTTTGATCATAATTTCGAGTGTCATCGAAAGATCGGGAGAAGATCGAGTTGTTCCAAAATTACAACCAGAATAGTGTATTTCTGTATTATTGGCAAACATATCAGCTGATAACATGATAATTTAAATTTAATTGTTATTATTTTTTAATTTAAATTTTAAACTATGTAATAATTTCAAATTCAAAAGCGAAAATTTAAAACTTCAATATCGAGTTACTTCCATAAAAATACAAAGGAGAGTTCATCTGTGAAAAGGCACAATGCAAGTTATCTCACATCTTCACTTACGTTTCTCCAGCTACGAAACCTCGCTCCGAGAACGCAATAACTCACCTACTGCATTAAACTGAAATAACTATCGGTTTAAGTTACAGACGGAGCGAGAACAACTGAATTAATGTACCTTATGTATATTACATTTCTATTCGTTTCAGTTATTCACACGTCAATACGACACATGTCAATATAATTAAATAAAGGTGAATATGAAAATGAATTACTCGAAATCTTATGACACTTTATTCATCGTTCTCGTCAATATTTTATATCACATATTCTAAAACTTTACCGCATATCTTTTGACATTAACTCACTAACAATTCAAAAGAATACACGAAAAACGTGAAATGTATTTAGCGCTTGTAAGTAACTAACATATTTGATATTTATTTCCGCCATAAGTTTATAACTTGTACCAGACGCTAAGCATTATGTTGGTCGTCGGATGTTGTTCTCTGCGTTGCGGCGACAGGCCATTAAACACGCGTTTGCCAGCAGCGATAGAGCTAATATTTTAGAAAACGTTAACAGACATCTAGAATCAACTTTTATTAACGTTCCTATTTCCTTAAGTATGTCAGAATATGCATAAGGGAGTAATATAGATGTACGAAAGAGAAGTACATATAGTGCCAACCCTCTATAGAGGAAAGAGCCGGAAGATGAAGGCGACAAATGAAATATCTACTAATGAAGAAGTGTACATTTAAATATTTGTAAATACAAAACTTTCATAGTATAATATAATACAGTCAGCTGCAAAAGTATGTATACATTTATAAAATTTTAGAAACTTGTAAGATGTAATCATAGTCGGAAGCGTACAGACGGATACGTGTATGCATATTTTTGCAACCGAAAGCTTTTGAAGCTTCGTAATTGTATAGATATTTATGAAGCTGACTGTACATCAAACGGAAGTTTCGTGGCCCAAGACGGAAGCTTGCAGTAGCGATCAATGCATTACGACTGCGCAGTGCACAGGTCGCCGCTCCCGTGACGTCACACAGCCTGCTCTGAAGTATATCTAGGTACCACATATATCTAGATAGGTCATATACTTCCATATATCATATGTATATATCCTTACTGTGTCTGTGTTTATGATACATATATATGATATACCAGGTGTTGCTGTTATACTGTTAAATTTCGCACTGACGAAGTTGCGGCTATCAGCGAGTCTCTAAATAATCAAGGAATATTCAATGTCACTAATATGATCAATGTATGTTGTCGAGCATAAAGCTATGAACGAATTTTATGACGAATTTATGAGATACTAGCTGTCGCCCGCGACTTTGTCCGCGCGGGATTAAAAATAGATTTTGGCCGATTCTCAGACCTACTCAATCTGGTCACAAAATTTCATGAAAATCGGTCAAGCAATTTCGGAGGAGTATGGGAACGTAAATTGTGACACGAGAATTTTATATATAAGATTATTCCGTAGTCCTAGAACATCGATGACTTATTGTCTGGTCTGCGGACAGCCTAAGCGCTAGGCACTCGATAGCACAAAAGGCTTATCGACTAACAAAAGCGCGTCTACAGATGAATTCCTTTTATACTACGTCATTTTAAATTGAAAAAAAAACGAATTAAGACCTCCTCCTCTTTGAAGTCGGTTAAAAATGAAACAATATACAACGTCTGTACATTACTCAAATAAGTTAAATTGATTTTGTACGTTATATATAAAATTTAATCAAAGCAGACTAAAATCCTTTTTATGTCTATCAAATTTATATTGCAACGTACGTGTGTAAGAAGAATAAAATCTATAGGGTTTTATGTGTATATAAAATACTTGCTGTCGCCCGCGACTCTGTCTGCACTTAATTAAAAAAAATAATTAGTAGCTTATTTTCTAGTCTATGTTTTACATCTGTGCCAAATATCAGCGATATCCTTTCAGCCGTTCTGGAGATACATTTTAACAAACATCAATCAAGACATTCGCATTTATAATATTAGTAGATCATTGGTTAGTAATCACGTCAAGCTGTGGCCCGGAGGTCTAATTTAGTCCTCTTTCCCTTCCTACCCTTTTTCTTATAAGGAGATGATGGGAAGTGGAAGTGGACTTTCCGGACTGCATGGAAAGGGAAGATATTTTCTTTCTGTGCATCCTCCTCCGTTGATTAAAGGTAGGCAACGCATATGCAATTGCGTATGTCTATGGACAACGGTCACTGCGCTATTTCAGCGATTTCAGGTGGCCGCTCGCTCGTTTGTCACGTTATGATATAGAAAAAAAAAGTTAATCCAGACATTAGTGCATTAAAGAACTACAAATTTACGTTTTAACCTTTTTGTCTCATCTAGGAAATAGGTTTTTTGTTACCTTTTTGAGGTTACTCTGAACTGCAGATTATGCTAATTTAGTGTTTCTTATTGCTTTTAAAATATGGTTTAAAATATTCATGAAATATAAATTAATTTTATAAGAGACAAAAAAATATTGCTTATTAACCAAGTTATTCTTTAATTATAAATTAAGTAATATTTAATCTTATTTTGTACGTGATTTTTGTGAGTATTTGGTTGTTGTGGCGGAACTGATATTACTTGGCATGTATCTTTATATATATAATTCTTCTGTGAGTGTGTATGTCACTGAACTTCTCTCAAACGACTGGACCGATTTTGATGAATTTTTTTGTGTGTGTTCAAGGGGATCTGGGAATGGTTTAGATTCACAATTTTACGTGTAGACAGGACAACGTCTGTCGGGTCCGCTAGTCTATATATATAAAAGAAAGTCGTGTTAGTTACACTATTTATAACTCAAGAACGGCTTTACTGTTATGGCTGAAAATTGTTGAGTAGGTAGCTTAGAGCCAGGAGACGAACATATGATACTATTTATTCCTTTTTTTCGAATTTATGCCTTGAAGAGCTGGTTTTTATCTATATATTAAGTTTTTTATATATCCACGCGGACAGAGTCGAGGGCGATAGCTAGTTTGCTATAAAAGTTAATTAAGAGTTACAATCTCTAACATGTATTACTAATCTATGTCTAGGACGACATATTGCGCGTTCATCAGACAAGCAATCGGAATGGAAGCGAATCGGAAATCCATTTCGAATTGAACTGTATCCGTGGATTGATTGACTGCGCGACATATGTAGAACAACATCCGCAGTCCGACTTAAAACCCTTTTTCCAATAAGCGGCTAGCTGCACAACGCTGCTTTATTTCAGCCAGTGGCAATAGCGACTAACTTATCCGACGTAGTGGGTGTAAATAAATATAAAATAATTGTTGTCCGCCACGTGAATGTCTAACCGTGGATCCGAGACCGAAATCTCTGTATAAAACATTTCATTATCCGTCTTTTCAACATTGTGTTTGAGAAAACAGAGATAAAAATATATTTTAAACGGGAATTTTGTTCCCAGAAGTCCACGGTAAGAAGTGTCACAAGATCTTTGTCGGACTGTACTCGTCTTGTTCAACTAATTATAAATTGCTGATTAAAATAGCAGTTGACCGTTGTAGTGAAACAATGGTAGCACGCCATCTATTGTTATATTTTGTACTACTCAAGGCTTACCTTCTGTTATCAAGATAGTTATCGTAGACGTCAGCCATGCTCTTGTCGTCATGCATGTCGTAAAGGTCGCTATAGATGGCGCTGTCGAGGCGCGAGGGGTCCAAATGGTAGTTAGGATTCTCGTAGGAGAGTAGACCATTCTCTGCAACAAAAGAAAATTATATTTTAAAACAATGTAATGAAGTAAATTCCATCCATACAGCAACAAAGTTGTTATAAGAATGAAACGGGATGTTTATTCGATGCACGACGCGGTTCCTACGTAAATATGTGCAAGTCAAAAACTGCAATTTTTTAGGAGGTACATTTTAGTGTCCGCTAATGGTATGGTAGTGTTCTACATTCGAAATGCAATTATTGCAAACATTGATTCTTTTTTTAAATATTATGTTTTAATGTCTTTTTTATATTTCTATGTCGGTCTAGGTAAGTTGTATCACGCGTCTTAACACGTGTTCAAAGAGGGTGATTATATATACGTAGACAGAGGTTGGCAACCGTCGGATCGGAAGCTATGTCGCCAGACGTCTGCACTTGTCGGGCCTCGTAAGCCGACACGGAAGCCGTACACATTTCTCATCTGCATGTATTACCAACAAATACCTTTGTATACGTTGACTACGATATAGTTTGTTAAAATCGAATAAGTTTATAAGGTGTAAATTAAATACACTCAAATATGTACGTGTGTCAAATAGCTTTTGTAATATTTGGTAATAAGACAACTGATTTCTTCACGCGTGAAAACATACGCCGGTATAATTGTGCACACAAAAAATATACACACAAATTGCCTTGATTGCTTGTTCATATCAAACTCAAGAATGGAGGCAAGATCGAACGGTTCAGGCCTAGGAAACCTACTAGAAAATGCGTGTAAATCACAAGTTCAGTCGCTATTTAGTTGTGAATACATCATATGTTTGAAATTTCGCAGATAGCGCTGGTGGCCGCACCCGCGATTTAGTTATGAAGAACTTACAATTTCTCAATGTATATTGAGACATTTGAAAACTTCAAGTGAGAGGTTAAAAGACTTTTCAGCAGTAACACTGTACTAAATATCTTGTTACATTGTTGTTACTTTATTTGCTGGACATAAACGTAAGCTTAAAGCCGTTAGGGACTCGGGTTGCCGAGAATGCGGCTAGATTGTGAACACTGCACGTTTATTTATTTTATAACCCAACATACGAGCATGTTCAATGTTTACTGTACCTCTTAAAATGTTAGTGTTATACCGTGTTAATGTCTTAAACGAAGAGATTTCGTTCCAAAGCCGAAACAACCTACATAGTTTATTTAAAAAAAAAGTACATATATTCCAAAATATTGAATATTTTCTTACATAACATTGCCACTTTTATTATACGGTATCACATCACACTATCTCATTATTATAATAAAATAATTGAAATTAACTAAAACAAATGAATATGACATGACGTTCATTTGTTCTAGTTCATTTGGACGTTGTATTTAAGTAGAATATTACTGTGTTTACAGTAATTTAGATTTTTATTTTCTTCATCGATTCTTGTTAGAAATAATTTTCAATTCAATTATTTAATTCCTTGCGACTGATGTTTTATTTTTATTGTAAAAATCTACAAATAACTTTCGTACAATGTGTTTTATATTCTTTTACGTTAGCGATCTTAAAAGTAACACGTTCGGTTTAAAAGGTCATAAAATGTGATAAATTGTGCCGAGAACACAAACCACACAAAGTTGTCGCGCAATCTGTAACGCTGCTGGCAACCCTAGCCCCCTAACGGTTATGTCCGCGGTGTAACGACGATGTTTCTTGTATGGACGAGGGGCTTAGGGCTGTCGATTGTGATTTTTATAAATATTTAACATGTTCATTTATACTGTTACTTTTAACGCGTGCAATGTTAGGTTTTTTAAAACTAAAATGCAATATAAATGTATGCTTAAATGATGACTCTACTTATAATTTATTTGTAACATCTAAAACCCGCTTATAGAATGTTAATATGCGTTTATTTACTTTCCGATATATAATAGTATTTACTAAAAAACTACTGACACAAGCGAAAATTACATTGGCAAACAAAAAAGGACACGTATTGGTCATAACATTTAAGGAGCAATATTAGAAAGGTAGCAAATGGATTGCCGCATTTACCGACCGTTATTATGTATACTAACATTATATGGTCAATAAGTAGTAAGAAAATAGAATTGAATTTTACTACATTAACAAATGACACCTCCTAACTTGTCTAAATCGGTTTACTCGTTTAGTCAGCACGGGGTCACAATGGTATATGATATCTTAAGTTTTTAAGCAATACTATCCTCTATAGAACAAAATTGCGTCCCACGAGTAACGTCTGTCTAGACTACTCTATGTTTATAATTTACCATAGATTAAAAAAATAACAAACGAGGTTTATATTTGGCCTTGTTTACTTCACGCTGGCTGGTTATAATTTTGTTTAAATTAAATGTAAAAAAATCGTTGACACTACGCAGTTGCTTTGTGCTAAACCGAAAAAAAAAGAAATTAGTTGCGGTCCAATGAGAGTCAAGGATTTTACGATTACAATTAGTTACACAAAATATAAGTATGAAATGTTGATGTTTAAATGTTATAGTTAATTTAAAATAGAAGCATACCCGAGAAGTGATAGTTTTTAAATAATATTATGATATATTAGTCGACCTTGCGTATATTGCAAAATGTTGAGTTATTATGTAAATAATATAAAGTGGACATGCAAAACTTCTAGCGTTTCAAACGCGATATATGATGTATGAATTTTCATACATACGTATGAAATGTTGACCGTGCACTATGAACCTGAAATTATTGCATGTCATGGATTATTACTGTTGTTATTGACATTTAAATGTGTATTGTGTATAATGCATTTTCTGTATTGAAATATAATAAAAATAATTGATTATGGAATCTTACATTCATCATCATCAGCTCACTATACGTCCCCACCGAGAGGCTCGGAGCCTACCCTAAGTTAAGGATGATTAGGTCATAGTCAACCACGCTGGATAAGTGCGGGTTGGTTGACTTCACACATATCTTTGAATTTCCTTGCATATATGTGCAGGTTGCATCACGATGTTTTCCTTCACAGTAAGAATGTCGGATAAATGTACATATGTAAATCGGAAATCGAAAAACACATTGGTACATGGATTCGAACCTAGGACCTACAGATTGCAAGTCAAGTGCTTGATCCACCGATGCTCTACATTTCATTCACATGTCTACAAATATGCTTTTCGGATACAAAATCTTTAAGCAACAATTCAGATGTTGAATTTACACCCCAGTGAATCAAACTGTGATGAAGATTGTATAACAAGACAAGACATATTTGACCGTTATGCAATATGTCAAGAACAAAACTTTTTTTGCTACCTGCCAGTAACAGTTACAGCTCTTTAAGAACAAAAAACCCTCATCGATAAGCCATACTCATTAAACATGCGAAATACCGAGCTATAAAAATAATTGAAGCCGTATACGACAATTATGCAAATAACCTTTAAAAGTTGTAGAGCGGGCACATCGCCCCAAGCACACTAATCTCTAGAATGTGCAAAGTTAAGTCGTTGTTAACGTTAAAGGCCACTTCTAGTCAGGAAATGTTTTGTGGTCGCTTAAATACGTGTATTTTATTTGTATAGGGTTTTCAAAAAGCACAATAACATACGAGGACACCAATACCAAAAGGTCAGAACTAGGTTTTTGAACATAATTACTTTGTGTCCTTTCCGAACTCTCTTAAACAATATTTTTATTTACCTGAAAACAAAATTTATATATACTATTTAAATCATAAGATTTTCTATTTAATATGTTCCAATAAAGTATATTTATATTTCAATTTTAATTTAATATTTCAATTTTTCATGAATACCATACACTAAAATTATACGTGAAAAATCTCATTTTCTGAGTTACATCTTTACACATAGGAGCCCATTTTTACAAAGTATCGATGGATTGTGTGTTAGATTTGTATGAAATATTAAAGAAAATATAGACATCGTCAGCTGATGATCAAGGTGGAGTGGGGGGGGGGCTAGGCGATAATCAAGGGGATGGGTTGGAAGAAAAGAATGTTTCTGAAAAACTGACGTCGTTTTTGAGATTTGTAATAATATATGTGGGTTATTGTAAGCACATTAGTATGTACTTCGAAGTATTTTACGCATCTATTTTACATTTTTTAATTCTCTAGATCGGGGCTGCTGTCCCCCTGCTCCCCCTTAGCAACGTCCATGACTGATAAAAACGTTTGAAAGAGAAGTAAAGATCATGGTTAGCGTGTTCATAATATTGCGCGTTCGTATGTATAAGTTACACGCGTAAAAACTTTAAATGGATTCTTTGAGGGAATTCCTAAGTGATGTAGTTTGGGGAAACCTAATAAGGGGCTTCGCGAACTGTAAGTCGATTTATCTGTACATACCACTTGATGATAGGGCTACTACACACTATGATTATCTTATTTTTTATATTAGATGTAAAATATAGCTTACTTATACATGACAAAATGTCAAAATTACTTATATTTTGATTCATGACATTATGTCATTAGCGCCCCTTTCAGGGAGCTAATGGCATGTTTTTCTTGGATAGCAAATAGGACTGGCGATTACTTCTACAAGACATAGCTAATATAAACAAGTACGAAAAGATATATAGACTAGTATAGTATAGTATAGGTTTGATAAATAGGGTTGTCTTTTATTGTAGTCAAGCAAATATGTTATTTTTAAAAAATGTATTGATGCAGCCCTGGTGGCGCGGCTATTGATTTTCTCGCGACCTTCTGTCCGCCGGAGCTCTCTAGTCGCGGCACGTACAATACTAGCTACGCCCCCGGCTTCGCTCGTCTCCATCGATCATTGTTACATAGATATTATGTCATAAAGGTACCACGATACTTAATAAAAATAATCTCTTACTAATATTGTGGTTCTTTCGGTTGAAAATGTTTTCTTTTTGTATGTCTTCACCTCGATTAATTATGGTTAGGCAACGCGTCTGCAACTTTGCATATATCTATGGGCAAATCTTACTTCGATATTTTGCGGAAATCCAGTGACCATTTCTTCATACTACCTGTCGCCTGCGGCTCC